TAATCCTCACTTTCAAATAAATATCACCTCTAGTGCATGGCTGCCTCCGTTGTTACAGTATGCTCTCGCTGCTCTGGCTTGGTTTCCTGAGTGTCAGAAGGCAGACAGGAGGCGGCCTGAGCCCTGGCTGTGGTGAGGTCACTGGCGTCTGGGGCTTTTGTCAAGACTGGAGTCCACACAGCGATTGCATAGGGGGTCACAGTGTCAAGGATGCAGCCTCCGTGTCCTGGGGGACAAGGGCCTGGAGGCAGGACCCAGGGCTCTGCTTCTGGGTCCTGTGGAGTTCCTCCAGCAGAGCAGCTGGATTTCCCCATTCCTCCACGTCAACTGTGTGACTCTCCATCATCAGGGGTCATCAGCCCCTCTCCTGCCATGCCGCGAGCCCACTCCGTGTTAGACTCCTGGGAGAAGGCAGACCTGCCCTTCCCAGGCCCTGGTTCTCCACAGGTGCAACACGTATGCCTCTGACCCAGAGTTTGTCCTGCTGTGCTTGGGCTCAAGCCTTGTTACTTACTGGATTTGAGTTCCCTGGTGGTTTGATGGCCTGGAGCTGAGGTGGCCTGGTACCTACTGGGTCGTTTAAGTTGGGGAACTAGAAGCAGTCGACCTGGGTCAAGAGTCCTGACTGGGCACACCCCATGTACCTGTTCCACACACGTGCGTGCACAGATGCACACAAATGCACCCATCCACCCTCACAAGGCAAGTGCACATGGAAACAGTTTTGCACACGCAGACAGTTTTGTGCACGCGTCATCACACGTGCACACAGGAGTGCCTTGCACACTCCTGCATGCTCCTGCACACATGCAGCAGGGTTCTCACATGCACACACACGTGGGAGTGCCTTGCACTCCTGCGCTATGCACACCTGCACATGCATGCAGGGGTGTGGCCTCACCAGTGGGAGGATGCTCTGGAAACTTCTACTGCTGCTGGTGGGGGGGGGCAGGCAGAGGCTCTGAGCCCCTGCAGCAAGGCCCCAAGCCTGTCCCAGCCCCCCATGCTGCTACACTCCACACACAGTGGGTCCACAGAAACAGGCTCAGAACACAGCAAGGAAGAGCACGAGGTCTAAGGATTTGTTAACTTAGGAGAAACAGGTAGAATTCCAGTTTTCCTTAAATTCACATTGAAGGAAGGGGAATAGAATGGGAAATGCCACTGGAAGAAGGGAACGAAGCAGGAGAGGAGAGCTCAGCTGTGGGGGTGGGGAGTGTGCAGGCAGGCACGCAGGAGCCTGGTGCCAGCTGAGGGGCACACATTTCCAGGCCACACGGCAGCGGTGCCCACACTGCACACAGGGTGGTCCGGGGTCCATGCTGAGGGCCGAGGGGCTGCCCTGAGGTGGGCAGCAGGCGTTGGGGCACAGCCCCGAGAAGCAGAGCAGGCCGGCCAGCCAGGGTGGAATGGCGGCCGGGCGGCCAGGGGAGCCTCTGCGTCCTGTCATGCACACACCCTCTCCCTCCCCTTCGCCTCGGCCAGCTGTATCCTCTTGGAGTTTGCCATTTGGTGGCTACCTCAGGCCTCAAGACCCATGTGGCCCTTGCCTGTCTATATGGCCACATGTCTGTCTGCCTGCCTGGCCAGCGTTCTTCTGTTCGGTCTTGGCTACTCTGTGATGCCCAGATACTCCACGAAGTCTGATACTCCTCTGTCATCCAGATACTCAGTGATGGTAAGAAGTGTCACGTGTTCCTGGTGAACTGAGACTGGTTGGGGGGGCATCAGATTGCAATATGTAGCCTGGTGATTGCTGGGGAGGCACTGTGGCCCTTGAGCCAGCCCTCCAGCCCTTTTTGCCTGGTTATTTCCAGGGTAGACTCTTCCTGTACTCCAGGTGTGGCCTGGGCCATTCTCCTGCCAACCTGCTCCAAGGTCGGGATGACCAGTGTGCGCTGGCCCAGCCATTGATTGAGATGGACTCTCATGACTTCTAATGTTCTTTTATGCTCAAATTGGTCTCCATCTCTACCCTCCAAGTAGGTCAGATGACAGGCTTGCGTCACCATGCCTGGCACATTGAACCTTTTAAGCCATCAATTAGATATCTTCTTCGTCAGTGCTTTCTGCTCTATCTGCATATAGTACTGGGGTTTGAACTCAGAGCCTTGTGCTTAAAGGGCAGGTGTGCTACCGCTTGAGCCGTGCTCTGCCCAGCCTTCTACCACTCCTTACTCTGTGATCTACGGTGTTTGATATCACAGGCATAAGCCACGGGCGCCTGGCATTAACCTATATTCTAGTGGGTTTCTGTTAAACAGAATCTTGTTGGACTTTGCTTTTTTTTTTTTAAATCTAATTTGGAAATCTCTGTCTTGTGATTCTAGAGCTCAGATGTTCACTGACATATTTAACTGCATGTACCATCTTGATAATCCACTGCTATTTATCCCATCTATTCTTTTCTCTTTGTTACACTTCTTTTGGGTTTGGTTTAGAGTCCTTGGGTATTACATTTCATTCTCTAAATGAGGCCAATTAATTATCTATCTTGTCAATGCTCTTGACCTAGCCAAGAGAATGGTGTATTGTGTTTACAATACACAGCTTTAGTAAGACAGGAATATCTCTGCTCCACCTTTTGGCACATCCCCCTCCCTCTCTGCCTTTGGGGTCTATGCCATCATATTTTGCTTCTACTTATGTTAAGAGTTCCGCCAAGCATTGCTACTATTTTCACTTAGGCAGCAACTATCTTGCCAAGACTTACTTGTCTTCTCTTTGAAACAAATCCTCTGCTGAGGAGATTTCTTCAAGATTTATTGCATCCATGTTTGTTGTTAATGGAGTTGCTCTTAATTTTGGTTTATCTAAAATGTATTTGCTTCTCTTCATTTGTTAAGGCGCTTTCCTTCCACAGGGCTGGCCACTGGCTTAGCACTTTACATACCTTTGTTTCCCGTGTGTGGCATTTTAATCTGCACACTTCCACAATTTCCTCTTTATTTTTTATTTTTTGCTAGTTCTGGGCTTGAAGTCAGGGCCTGGGCTCTGTCCCTGAGCTTCTTTTGCTCAAGGCTAGTGCTCTACCACTTGAGCCATAGCACCACTTTTGGCTTTTTCTGAGTAGTTTATTGGAGATAAGAGTTTCATGGACCTTCCTGCCTGGGCTGGCTTTGAACCACAATCCTCAGATCTCAGACTCCTGAGTAGGAACTTTGGTTTTTTAAGAGAACTTTTTGTTGTGATTGTTAAGGTGTTGTAAGAGGGGTGACGGCCTCACGGGCTGGGTAATGAGTACACTTCTTGGACAACATCACCCATTCCTTCGCTTTTCCCCCAGCTTCCCCCTCCTGTCCCTGCCCACAAGTTGCAAAGTTCATTTTCCACATAGTGTCTACTGAATACCACTGCTACATTTGCTCACCCTCCCTACACTTCTGTCCCCTTTTCTGCCCTCAAAAGAGAGAAAAGAGAACAAACAAGAAAAAAAACCAGACAACCTATCTCCACCAGTAGCTGACTGGTTCCTGAGAGCCATAGGTTGCATAAGGCGCATCTACCTTTGTGGGGGGCGGGGGAGGGGAAGCTCTGTGTAATTACTGTTGTCATCTCCTTAGTGTCTCTTCTGCTGGTCTCCCCCGCCCCCTCTCCTCCCGGGGCTCCAACTGCAAACATCAGCCGTGGCCTGCCACGGTCCCCGCGCCCCTCGCTCTGCGCCCGTGCCTTCCCCGCGGTCACTGTTCCCCTTGTACCTCACTGCTCCTGATTCCTGTCTGCCTCTGTTTGAGTCCCGAGAGCCCGTCGCAGCTCATCTTCCACGGTGTGTTTTGGCGTCTGCCTTAATCACCTGACTCGCTGTGAAGTTTGTGTCTGACAGCTCTGAGCCTGGACTAGTGAGTCTGCTTTGCTGATTGTAGCCTCTTGATGATTGGCTGGCTCTTCCTTGCTGACTTAGGTGCCTTATCATCTTTGATTGGATATTAGGCAATATATATTGAGCAACTAAAATTGATAAAAGTAGAATTTCCCCTGGAAATGCATCTCTGCTGCCAGGTCATGTGTGTGTGTGTGTGTGTGTGTGTGGTGTGTATTATGTTGAATCAATTGGGGAGTTTTCAGATGCCTATTACATAGAGAGGTCTTCACACATTTTTTTCCCCCAGTGGGAGTGGGTAGGGTCCCTGCCTCTGATCTCTGGCCTCCAGCCTCTGGTCTCCTGTCTCTGGTCTCCAGCAGGCCTCTAGGCTGGGGCTGAACAGGGGCTTCTCTGACCTTCTGCTCTGAGAGCAGCTTCTCTTGGTATTAGTGTTGTTGTTGTGAGAGATGTGATCCCCATCCTCCCTGATATGGACTCCTTCAGGGTCTGGCAGGAGCTTTGAGGTCCAGGCCTGTTTCCCACATACCCCTCATACTGGGTCTTCCTCTACCATTGCTCCCAGGTGCTGGAAATTCAGCAGGGGTGGGGCCATCCCACACCAAGATGTTCCTCGTCAGCTCAGTGGGGTACAGAGGAGAGAGAGTGGGGAGGGCTGGCAGGAGAGGGACAGTGGAGAGGAGGGGGGAGGGCCAGCAGGGGAGGGACAGTGGAGAGGAGAGGGGAGGGCCAGCAGGGGAGGGACAGTGGAGAGGAGGGGAGGGACAGTGGAGAGGAGGGGAGGGGGAGGGCCAGTGGGGGAGGGCCAGTGGAGAGGAGGGGAGGGGGGGCAGGCAGAGGAGGGGTATAGGCCACATTTGTGTCCTATGGTTTATGGAGACAGCTTCACAATTGAAGATGAGAGAGAGAAAGAGAGAGAGACAAGAGGTGTGCTACAAACATGAATTTATTTGGTTCACATGGAGAAGAGAAGGAGCTGGGACCCAGAACTTCTCCAGGGACAGGGACAGGGTGATCTGGATCATTCAGCTGTCCTCTGTGTTCTCACTGGGAAGTCCAGGATTGGGTGAGCAGACCCTACACCTGCCTCAGGTGCTGCACCGCGGCCACAGAGCACAGGTGCTGGGAAGGGTGTGGATGCGGGCCCACGTGCTGGGAAGAGCAGGCTGGGCTCTGCTGGTCAGCAGCAGGCGGAGATGCTGCAGGACACAGGTCTGCAGACCAGAGTGGGGCAGGATGGCTGGCAGCACCCAGAGGACTGGCAGCTGGGGACCACACACACAGCAGGCCTGCAGCTCACAGGAACACACACGGAGGACTGGCAGGAAGGAGACACACACACACTAGGTCTACAGCTCACAGGGGAGCAGCAGGCCACCTGCAATCTCACAGGAATGCACATGGCAGGTCTGCAGCTCACAGGCACACAGCAGGATGACTGGCAGGGACTGGACACACAGCAGGATGGCTGGCAGGGACTGGACACACAGCAGGATGACTGACAGGGCCTGGACACACAGCAGGATGGCTGGCAGGGACTGGACACACAGCAGGATGGCTGGCAGGGGCTGGACACACAGCAGGCCGGCTGGCAGGGACTGGACACACAGCAGGATGGCTGGCAGGGCCTGGACACGCAGCAGGATGACTGGCAGGGATTGGATACACAGCAGGATGACTGGCAGGGGCTGGACACACAGCAGGCCGGCTGGCAGCCTGTGGAACAGCTGGTGTGGCACATGGTGGAGGCTGGCTGGTGTGGGGAGGAGGTGGTAATGTCTGGCTCCTGCTCTGGAAGCTTTTATACCCAACCCAGGTGTCCCAACAACACAACACAGCCGTGTCTTCTGTGTGATATTTTTTATCATACCTGCCCTAACATCTTATTATCTTGGGATGTGGCTTCCTGCATAGACTCACCCACAAATAACTTTACCCTCGAGGCTAATCTTCCATAAACAGGATATTCAGTTTACTTACTGTAGACTTTGGGCTGTTGCTTTCAAGGCCACTATTGTGCGTGTAGCACATCACATCTGTCTTAACCTAAAGTACACTGTCTCATTTCCTTATTTATTCTCATGCTGTTGATGAAGACTGAGGTAATAATTTACAGTTTTATTAGTTATTTGACCTTTTGTATTACACAAGAAAGTTCAATGCAGAAGTTGGCAAGCTATGGTTTATGGACCACATTTGGCCCATTGCCTGTTTTTATAAATAAAGCTTTGTTGGAACACAGCAGGCCCATTTGTATATGTGTTGCCAGCAGCTACTTTTGCACCATCTTGCAAAATTAAAACATTTATGTTTGGCCTTTCACAGAAAGTTAGCTAACCCTGGCATATAATCGCTGACAAGAATTCATTTGCTCATTTAATAGGCATATACTGTGTGCCATCAGCTCTGGTTTCATGCGTCTACCAGCAATGGGAATAGGGGACAAATGAATAAAGGGATGAATGTATGAAAAAATCCTGGAGAGGGCTGTGTCTTGCCACAGAAAATGGATCAGGTCAAAGAGTCTGGGGGCTTCGGCGGGGAAAGTGCTTAGTTAGCCTCCGGGATGAAAGGCTTCCAGGTACCATGTGTGCTGAACAGAAGTAGTCATGGAAGAGACTCTGAGAGACACAAGAGCAGCATCTTCCTGGGTGGTGGGAAGTCACACTCCATGCATGGGTGCAGGAGGGCAGTTGTATCCAAGGACCAGGTGTCACAGTCCTTTGTTAGGGGACCTGGAATGTGGAGTTCAGAGCCTCCTGATAGAAAAGTTCTCTGAGGATACCCAGGTACCCAAGACTCACATTTGTCATCCTAGCACCTCAGAAGGCTGAGATTAGACAATTGCACTTCATAGCAAGCCTGGGGGGAGAAAAGCCTGTGAGACTCCATTTCTAATTGACCAACCAAAAGCTAGGTTGGAGGTGTGGCTTAAGAGGTAGAAAGCCAGACTTGAGAACACAGGGCCCTGAGTTCAAGCCACAATGCCAGCACAAATACCAAAAAATAAAACAGTCACTGAATGTGAAGATAATGCTGGTAGACATTATGTAATCTGAAAAAGGGTGAAGAAAAATTAAGAAAGAAGAGGCCAGTGAAGCAAAATCATGGTCCAACATACAAGCATAGTCCAACACACTTGGGGGGGGGCAGAGAAAGTAACTGAACCATTAACTAATTTTTGAGGAAACATTTTATTTTTTAAACCAAACTAGAGAGATCCAAGAGTCTCATAAACATAAAGAAAACCACAAATGACCTCATACTAAGGTAGCAGAAACCAAAAATAAGACGGGACTCCTGAAGACGATGGAGTGAGACCTCACACAAAAGAGCTGAGATGGCCGTAGATTTCCCGGTGGAGACAGTGTGGAGTGGGCGGCGATGGCACGTCCGCAAATCAGGCGTAGGAAATCCACAACACAGAATCCCATACGCAGGAAGATAAATCGCTAGAAGAGAAAATGGGAGTGCTCATAAAAACAGAAGTAGAGAGGATTCCTCATCAGCAGTTTGCTCTAGGAGGAATGCAGGATGGAGTGCGTCAGGTTGAGCAGGCTCCAGATCATGTGGACCCTAAGCCTGGAGAAAGACGTGGGTCAGCCGAACCACGGGGAGAGCAGGAGGCCTTTTCTGTCCTCCGGTGGACTTGTAATGGACTGACTGCTTTCCTGCATCTTTCAGATAGAGAAACCCAGTTGGACTTCACCTGTGTGTGTGTGTGTATGTGAGTGAGAGTGATATAGGAGATCAAATTAAGGGCTTGCTCGTGTAAGACAAGTTTACCACTGAGCTTCACTTGCATGTGGCTCTCTCTTACACTGACAGGTTTAGTTTAGTTTAGTTTAGTTTTGGCTAGTCCTAGGGCTTGAACTCTGGGCTTGGGTGCTGTCCTTGAGCTTCTTTGTGCTCAAGGGTAGTGCTCTACCACTTGAGCCACAGCTCCACTTCCAGCTTTTTCTGAGTGGTTTATTGGAGATAAGCCTCACAGACTTTCCTTGCCCATGGTTGGCTTCGAACCATAATCCTCAGATCCTGAGTAGCTAAGATGACCAGCCTGAATCTCTGGCGCCTGGCTGATGTTTTTTTTTTTTTTTTAAGCAACATAAATAACCCATGTTTTCGATTCCTGGAATTCAATAAATAGCATTTAACATGTTCAGGAGAGTTACACCTTGGGTTCCTCCCCAGCTGGTGTCTTCCTTTAGTCTCCTCGTTTGTGAATAAGGAGTCACAGCCTTCAGATCTAGCCCCCACTTGGGAGACACCACATGCACCATCTGTCTCTCTAAGTTTGGCTCACCTTACTGAGTTTGCTCTAGATCCATCCATTTCCCTGAAAATGACACAACCTTTCCAAACATTATAGAAAAGAAACTTTTGTCCCCGGGTCCTGGAGCTCATTTCTACAAAGATTATTTTATATGATCAGAGGCACATAGCATTGTGTTCCTCCCCTAAGATTATCCTCTTTTTGGTCCTCCTATATGTGAACAAATGATAGAATCTTATTCGTTCTAATGGCTGTGTAAAATTCCATTGTGTACAAACATCACATTTTATTGATCTGCTCATCCTTAGTGGGGCATCTGGCTCTCTCCATAACTGTATTGTGAATAGTGCAGCAGTGAACATGGGTGTGCAGGTGTCTTTCTTTACAGTAACCTGGCTGGTGATGCTCTGGGTAGATGCCCAGGAATGCTGGCTGGGTCACAGGGAAGGTCTATGTTTGGTTTTGTAAGGAACCTCCAGACCGCTGTCCAAGTGGCTGTAGTAGTTCACATTCCCACCAGCATTCATTGTTGTTTGAACAACTGACTTTGTAACACATGTTTTTATTGCTATTATAAAGGTGATGTACAGAGGGGCCAACATTTCACCAGCCAGGTAAGGAGCACCTCCCAGTGCTCTCTCCTGGTTTTCCCCTCCTGTCCTGTTCACGAGTTGAGTGGCTCATTCTCCACGTGTGTCAGGTGAGCACCACGGACCGCCGGGAGCGTTCACACCGGCGGCCGTGTGGCACCCGAGCGCGTGTTGGCGGTGTCTCTGTCGTAAGGCTTGTGCGGAGCCTGCTGCCACAGGAGGCGCCAGCGAGGGGCAGCTCCGAGTCCTCACCGGTGGCACAGCAGCTCCGCTCTTCTGGTTCCAAGCCCTGACCCCAGCGTGGGCTCAGGCCTGGGGCGGAGGCACCTCAGCGGGTTGCTGGCAGTTGGAAATCCCTGCCCTTAGCTGTTGGCGCTTGGCCGGCTGCTGGCCCGGCCGTCCCCCCCTCCCACGGGGGTTCACGGGACCACAGCCCTGTCTACCCTCCCCCCTGTCCACACGGTGTCCCCTGCTTTGTGTCTCCTTAAGCCCTGAGTGGAAAGGGATGTCAGGCGGCCCCAAGTTCTCTGGGGTCCACGGGAACTTCTGGAGCCTGAGCGCAGGGCGTACACGTTGGGGCTGGGTGGAGGCGGCCCGGGCCGAGCATCTCTCTGCGGCCCGCTATCCTGGGCACCCTCCTCAAACAAAGCCTGAATTTCATAGGCGGTGGACGACAGCCCAGCCTGGGCTGGGCTTGGGCTCAGAGGAGGCTCAGAACGCAGGATGTGTCCCCAGTGCACACGCTTTATTGGTTACAGCAATTGGCTTTTGTCACATGAATGCAGGTGTGAACTGGAGAGGCCAGGGACCATGATGACGGGTTGCTGCCAGGCCACAGAGGGGTGGCTGCTCCTCGGCAGAGGGGTGATTCTGGGGGCCAGGGGATCCTGAGGGGTCATGCCCAGAGCAGAGGCAGCCCATGAGAGCCGGACATGCACCCATCAGCAGCTGCACTGGCCCGGGGAGCCGCCACAGCAGGCCTGGCGGGAGCAGGCAGGGCGGCACAGCAGGGACACGCACGAGGCCGCCGGGCGGCAGCAGCCGGGCTGGCAGCAGGGGGCACAGCAGGAGGAGGTGGGCACGCAGCAGGCGGGCCTGCACACGGGCCTGCACAGCAGGGACACGCTGGAGGACGGCGGGCAGGGGAGGCAGGGGCGGCAGCAGGGCTGGCAGCAGGGCTGGCAGCTGGTCGGCTGGCAGCAGCAGGAGGAAGCCCCGCAGCACATGGGCTCACTGCACACGGGTCTGCAGCACACGGGTGTGCAGCACATGGGCTCACAGCACACGGGTCTGCAGCACACGGGTGTGCAGCACACGGGCTCACAGCACACAGGCTTACAGCAGACAGGCACGCAGCAGGACTGCTGGCAGGCTGAGCAGGGGCAGCAGCAGGGCTGGCAGCTAGACGGCTGGCAGCAGGAGGGTGTGCAGCAGCTGGCGCAGACGGACTGGCAGCAGGGGCTGGACGCACAGCCCGCTGGGGAGCAGAGGAAGGTGAGGCAGGGGGCGGGGGCGCAGCCGCGGGGCTGGCAGCAGCTGGGGGCGCCGCAGGGCTCGCAGCAGCTCTCTGGGCAGTCGTCCACCTGCCAGGAGGCGTCGGTGCAGGAATCGCAGGAGCCGGGCAGGCAGACCCGGCTGTCATAGCTCAGGTCACTGGAGCAGACGGACATGGTGGAGGCGGCCATGGCGGGCTGAGTCTGGAGGAGTGAGGGTGTGTGTGAGCGAGGAGTGTGTGTGAGTGTGTGGGCCTGGGCATGTGTGGGCTTTTATACCCCAGTCTGTTGTCCCCGCCGAGGTTTACGAGCCTCCCTTCCTGGTGGTGCTGCCTCTGGCCGCGGCCGGTTGTTAGTGCCGGTTCTTTGCACGCCTGCCCCAGGA